CTATAAACCGAATCTTCAAGGGGTCCGCTTTTTTGTGGCTAGCTGCGTCGTAAGACGCTAGTCTATCCACATTGCTATCGGGTTTGAAAAAAGAAAGTACACTTTTCAGGCCAGACATGGCAGGCATTCCTGGCGTAATGAACCAGAAGACCAAGGCGAGCGCTTTTGATTGAATAAATGTGGACGGTGTATTGATCATAAAATCAGTTAATTTAAAACTTTTTACTAGTCTACTGTCCCCCGCCCCACAGGGAGCCCACCACTGAAAAGAACCGCTGCGAGGAGACTAACTTTTTACCGGATAATTTCGACTTATTCTTTTCTTAGCGTATAATGCTAAAAAGCTATCTAGATGTAGTCATTGACTGCCTTTAATTCTCCTCCCCTTGTCCAGAGAGCCTGATACTTAGGTTAATCGAGGTACCTGAACTGAAAACAAACTGAAACACAAAAYATCACATCAAAATATTCTACAGGTCAGTAACGATTATGTTCGCCATAGAGGTATCAAATTACAACAAGACAAAGAAAAACTTAAAGCAAAACACTAACAATGATTTCAAACCGTGAAGGACTAGGCAAAATCTCCCTAATTGGACAATCATGAGATAAGACTTACATAGAAAGAAAGCCCCAACTATTCGTTATTATTTGCTGACTAATCGGCCGTTTGCATTATGACGTAACTTTACTACAACTACCAGAGAGCCTTGTGCATTCACTGGAAAAAATCGCGCGCTTTAAAGGTTCTGTAAATTTAATGGAAATAATTTACATCAAATTTACAGAATTTTGGACACTTACATCATATTTACATCAAATTTAAAACCTTTAAAGCGCGCGATTTTTTCCAGTGGTTTTCATTTTTATTCAGATTTTTAAGCCCCCTGGAGATTAATAAAACAATTGGCACTAATTGTATTACAAAAGAAAGTTGGCAAAGCATTCTGGTAGTTGTAGTAAATGACGCCATAATGCATATCTGTGGGAACTAGCGGTAAACTAGTGTGAGCTGCGTCAGTGTTTCTAAAGAAACAGTTAATCCTTCGTCGGAGTAAAAGTTTGGCTTTTACTCCGACGAAGGATTATCGTCCGAAACGTCAGTAAATTATTTCACATACTTTTTTACGGTGTTAAATTTATGTTTTTACATAACTCATAATGCATATCGCCTATTTCAGTATGTAATAGTAGATATCACTGAACCAGAACAATACATGGAAACAAAAGGTAATACACAAGAGACTTGGAAACAACACAAGGTTTTATTAAAAGCATAGTTAGTACTAACTATGTTAAAAGCTACCTTTTAAGGAGGAATTTGTTATAAAATTTCCCACCCACAAGGAAAAAAATACAGTTTGAAAGGGTCTCTGTTAAACGCAGAGGAAAGATGTAGGCTTCATGGCAAATCGAGTTTATTGAATGCGGAAAAACGCAGGACGTTGCGCACACTTTTGAGCCAATGAATATTCATTTAAGACGCGTTGTCATTAGAGCAAACAGACATACATATTACACCCGATTTCAAATGAGTGCGAACTCTCGAATTTTTTTTGAACGCTAAACTTTCACTCGACCGTCATTCACTCGACCGCTTGGTAACCAGGCACACGTGTTTAGTAAGTGATGCGTGACTTTCTGTAGCGGGACTTTCGCATTTAGAATTATGGAGGAAGAAGCGGTGGTCTTTGTTCGAGATACCTGTGGTCCTTGTGTTTC